CTCGACTGCTCCGGCTACAAAAGCAAGCCCACATTAGCCTCCTGCTCCTCCCACAGTCTTCTTCGACTTCAACACACCCGCAGATTCGACATGGTGCGCATACTGCCAAGCCTCGTGTCGCTGGGCGTGGTCTCCCTGTTCTTGCTGTGTAATGCCGACAGCGTAGCGGCAAAGAAGGGCAAGCAGACTGCCAACCTGCAGCAAGCACTCACCGCCAAAGCGAAAGTTGCGGATGCCAACAACAAGCTGGGCATCAAGGGAGCAGCCAGGGTGGCAGTGAATGCAAAGATGGCCAGCGTCACGGCTCAATCCGGGTCCTTGACCACCTTTTGCTCTCGCTTCATCTCCTCCTGCCACGACATCTGCCTCGCAAATCAAACCGGTACTCAAAAGGTCGTGTACTGGTGCGAAAAAGCTTCAGCGGTCACCAACTCTGGCACCGGCTTCACCTTTGGTTGCAAGTGCAACACAAAGGAGAAGACCACCAGCGCTCTCAATCGCGTCATTGGCATCAAGCCAGACAAGGCCGTGACGGTGACAAAGAGCAGCACGACGACAAAGACCAACACGGCCACTGCCACTGCCACCAGTTCCATCACCGTCCTCACCACCACCACTGGAACGCAGACCGTCACGAGCACTCTCAGCATCGTCCTCGCGACTCCCGGCGCAGTTGTGGCTGCGGGCTCGACCAAGGAGGATGTCCTCGTCGTAGCTATTCCCGCCAAGGTGCAGACCGCAGCTGCAGCTAGTGTCGATGCGGAAGCGGATGCAGCTGACGGCACTGCAGCCTCTCGCGGTGCTGGCGGCGCTTCCATCAAGGTCCGCGATGGTACGCACCACAAGCATCACGGCATGCTGCGTCGTCAAAAGGCTACCGTTGCACGCTTCTGCACGGCTTACAAGGCCTCCTGCAGCAAAGAGTGCTCTGCCATCTCTTCTTCCGTCAGAACTTCGACCTGCGAGCGTACCACCAACGGTGCGGACAACGACACCTACAACTTGCTCTGCAAATGCAAGAATGGTAAACCCCGTACCCAAGGCGCTCTGCGCGCTCTGATCGGAGGAGGCTCCCCCACTGATGGCGATCAAACCTTCACCTCTGTCGTGTCGGTCGTGAGCACCAAGGTCACCGACGTCTCCTACACCACCACGCTCAAGCAGACCACCACCAAAACCTCGACAGCGACCGCTACGGTCACGACCACCAGCCTAAGCATCGTTGCTCCTACCGGTGTCGTTCGCGTTGATATTCCAGCTCAACCGTCGCTGGGTGTTGATGAGAAGCTTTCGGGCTACATCAAGAATCCGACCGGTACGTGGGGTTACCAAATGTCTGTGCAGTCGCTCGACAAGGACGCAAGTCGCGTCGCGTTGGTGCAATCTCCCGATCCTGCCACTCCCAACGTCTTCTCGCTGCTGCTACTCGACATTCAAGGCGGCTGGATGTTGGGCTCTTCGGTTCCCTTTAGCGGAGAATACCCTCGCGACGAGGTGACGATGGGTGTTGCCACGGACTGTCCCAACACTGGAATGGCCTTCTTGGAGATGATGCCTGGCATGCTCCTTCCAGGTCTGAGCGTCGTGGCCGGCGGGACTTACAACGGCTTCTACGAGACCTACAACTTCTACATTGAAGGCGACGGTTTTGCAAGTGATGCAGTCACCTCTGGTGGCGTGCCGCTTCAGACCAAATGGTTCGAGCTAGACGGCACCACCGTCGACACTGAAATCTGGCTGAGTCCCGACGATCCCAAGAACAGCGCTTCGACATTGTCTACGGTCGTCAAGGGATGCAGACGCAGCGATGCGCTCACGGCTAACCTCGTGTTCGAGCCGCAAGGCAACCTGTCTGATCTGGGCAACTCCAACTAGATGCTCGTCTCTTTCACCTCTGTCGCCTCTATTGCGTTGCGCGCGTAAGCGGCTCCACGGACCATTTCGCTTTCTGATCGTCTTCCTTGACGCCCTCTGTGCCCATCCTTTGTTTGACACACGTGTTTGGCCTCGCCCCACCTTCCCTGTCGGTCACCTTTT